AAGCTTTTTCCACATCATTTGGTGAAACATCTCACATGGTCTGTATCAGATCATAGGCCAATCATCGTGGACATGGTGGGGAGAAAACCAAGATGGTAAAACAGTTGCAAAAGGACAAGGAGAAGGTTTGAGGAAATGTGGATAGGTGAACCAGAGTGCATGGGGATAATTAAAAAAAGTTGGTCAGAAAGAGGGACAAGATGCTGCGAGAGAGAATAGAAGAGGTACTGGGCAGACTTAAAGGATGGAGCAAGAGGAAGTTCCATCATATAAGGACAAAATTTGAAAAGTTCAATGATGACCTAGGCAAAATTCAACAAAGGAGCATAAGTGGGGAAACAATGGCAGAGGAAAAGAAGCTAAAGGACATGCTGAACCGACAACAAGAACAAGAGGAAGTCTATTGGAAGTAGTGTGCAATAACAAATTAGCTTCGGGAAGCTGATAGGAACACAGTTTTTCCAAGCACAAGCGACAGAAAGGAAACGCACCAATAGAATATATGGTGTGGAGGACGATGATGGAGCATGGCTTGAGGAGGGACATATTTCCAACCAGTCAGTGGGGTATTTTAGAAAACTTTTTAAAACACAAGGTGTAACGTACGTGGATGATGCTATAGAGAAAATTATACCTTGTGTAACAAATGAGTTGAACGAATGGCTGGTATCCAAGTTCACAACAGAGGAAATCTACATTGCAGTCAAACAAATACATCCCATAAAGGCCTCGGACCCGATGATATGCCCACGTTATTTTTTCAAAAATATTGAGATATTATAGGACTAGATATAATGAAATACTGACTTAATTTTTTGAATGGAGGGAGTGGATTGAAGGGACAAATGATACATATATAGTTTCGATTCTGAAAGTCAAGGCACCTAGGAAGATTACCTAGTACCGCCAAATTAGCTTGTGTAATATGCTGTACAAGATAATCGCTAAGACCTTAGCAAATAGGCTAAAACGAATCCTACCACTTTACATAAGCGAGAATCAGAGTGCTTTTATACCAGGCTGCTTGACATCCAATAATGTGATTATAGCCTATGAGTTGCTCCACACAATGAAGCGAAATAAAAAGGGTTAGGAGGGGTAGTGTGCTTTAAAACTTGATATGAGCAAGGCCTAGATAGAGTGGAGTGACCTTACTTAGATTCAGTGATGGAAAGAATGGGATTTGACTAAAGATGGAGATTACTCATAATGAATTACATAAAATCTGTCACATACAATGTGGTGACCAATGGTTTCATGTTTGAAACAATCTACCCGGAGAGAGGGCTTAGACAAGGGGATCCACTTTCCCTATACCTATTCTTGATATGTACCGAAGGCTTGTCGGCATTGCTATCTAAAAAACAAAAGGAAGGTTTATTACAAGTTGTTCTAGCGAGTGTTTAGGGCTCAAGAATCACTCACCTTTTCTTTGTAGATGATACTTTGCTTTTCTTTAAGGCAAACCAACAGGATTGCAGAAGGGTGAGAGACTTGCTAAGGGAATACGAAGAAGGTTCTGGGCAATAGATGAACTATGACAAATCGAGCTTATTTTTTAGTACAAATTCTTGTGAGGAGGCCAAGAATATTGTAAAAAACAGTTTTGGGATACAAATAACAACAAACCTGGAGAGATATTTGGGACTTACCATGTTTATTGGGAGAGGGAAAAGATAGGTCTCTAGAGGAATATTAGAGAACATGAAAGGAAAATAAAAATATAGAGCTATAGATGGTTGTCTACAGGGGTAAGGAGGTATTTGTGAAGTCTGTGTTACAATCTATGTCTTCTTACGCGAAGTCTTGTTTCATGTTCCCAAAAGGCTTGTGCCATGATATTAATATGCTAATTAATTACTAAATTCTGGTGAAGGATATCTCTGGACACAGGAAGAATACACTAGAAATCGTGGAGGCACATGTGCATGGCAAAGAGCGCTGGTGGCATGGGATTCAGGGACATGGATTGAGTGCTTCAACAAAGCCTTACTGGCAATGCAAGGTTGGCACCTCATACATAACAACTCATCACGCGTGCACAATGTCATGAAGGCCAATTATTTCCCAGAAACGTCTTTTCTTGAAGCTGAGCTGAGGAGGAAGCCATCATACGCATGGAGAAGCATCCGGATAGGGAAGGAGGTACAAAACCTTGGGACTAGGTGGAGGGTGGAAGAGGGAGGAAATATTAAGTTATGGACAGAAAAATGGATCCCAAAGGAAGGCCGCTTCATACTTGAACCAAAAAGGGGATATAACCCAACAGAAGAGAGGGTAGGCTCTTTAATAAATAAAGTGCAAAGTTGCTGGGATGAAGATAAGCTAAGGGAGCGTTTCTCGACAGAAACAGGATGGGAGATCATGGCAATTCTAGTTAGCAACATACCACTGCCCGATATCTAGGTATGTCACTTAAAAATTTCGGGCACTATAGCGTGAGAATTGGGTACCATCTACTGCTGTCAAGGGACAACGTGGCCAGTCCACCGCGACAAACAGAAAGGGAGATGACGGGAAGTGATAGTAACTTGAACTGGAACAGAAATTGGTATTTATCTATCCCCAGCAAAATTAGAATTTTTGCATGGAGATTGGGACAGGAAGCAATCCCAGTGTATGAAAGACCAAAGACAAAGAAAATAAGAGAACGTGCGATATGCCCACCATGCCAAATGCATGATGAAACCGTATTGCATGCCATCAAAGACTGCATCCATGCAAAGAAGGTATGGATACACGCAGGTTATGGAAGAGACTGGCAAGAATCCCAAACACAATCCATGAAGGAATGGTTTAACCTACTGGTCAACAACATAGAAAAGGACAAGCTGTTAGTGTGTTAGTGGTTGAAGCATATTCTGACCAAAGCCTTACCAAAGGCAAGGTTTGAAACATTGAGGAAAAGTCTTGGTGTTTCCAGCAGAAATGCCAAGGAGGAGTGTTAGTGTGTTAGTGGTTGAAGCAACTAGATATGGCATTTCTACTGGTATTTTTGTAATAGGTTTTGCCATCTGATCAGTTTAGGTAACATGATGGATCTATGAATGGTGATCCATACTGTTAGGCAAACAACTCTTGTAGTAGTTAAACAAAATTTTGTATGTTTAAAGCCTATATATTAATGAAATGAAGCTCATGATCTGATGAACCAATTTACTTCAAGTGACAGATTAGTTTCTGCTGTTTTTTGTTCTTCCTCTGCTCTAAATCCTTCACAAGCTCTATCGAATCATTGTAATGTGCAGGGCAATATGGTTTTCCAGGAACGAAGGCCTCAAAAACGGAAGACACAAAAGATACCAGAAAACGGTAGATTTTGTCGATCAGTATTTAAAGGCAGACTCACGAGGGCTATGGCTAGATGGAGTGCGCCCACCAGAGAAACTGTGAAAGTGAACTTCGATGGGGCATTGGACATAGGACGAAGCGTTGGAGGAGAGGGGCTGATTGCCAGAAACAATGAAGGAAAGGTCTTGGGAGCAAAATATGAGATTACTGCTAGGATAAAAGATGCGGCAATAATAAAGGGATTAGAAGCGTTTAAGGCAGCAGAGTTTACGAAAGAAATGGGACATTGTGCTGGAAGGAGACGCCAAAGGATTTAATTCACGTATCACACAAAAACATGGCATTAACCTATCATTGATTGGGAACCAGGTGGAGGAGGTAACGATGGGTCTAGCAACCTTTCTCTATTGGCAATGAACGCATGTCCAGAGGGAAGCGAACGTGGCAGCGCATAAGCTAGCAAGAATGGTGGCGGAAAGTATGGCAAACAGATACTGGTTGAATGAATTTCCAGTTGAAATAGAATGCATTGTAACCCATGATGCTATTTACTAATCAATGAAAGTGCTTCTGTTCAAAAAAAAAAAAAAATTTTGTGCTCACACCAAACATTTGTACGATATTAAACAGGTTCTGTCCCCACTTCGAGTGCAATTGGCGTCTCACTAACCAAGAAACGCCAGAAATCAATGCTTTAATTGTTTACATTTTCAAGGTTCCAACGATTCAGGAAAACAAAGACTGCTGTATATAAAAACAGAGACGAAAGACTCGCTCTACGCGAGGTCATCAATCATCCAACTTGGTACAAAGGAAGAATCACGAATGGCCCCCATCCACACCTCATTTCAAGCCCCAAGCATCAACAATTAATTTGTATTCTAGTATTTTATCGCAAAAGCCCAGGAATGGTGATTTGGGGGGGGGGGGGGGCTGGAAATGAAGGAGCAACGGTGGTAATCTGTAGGAAATGTGGGAACAGATCCAAAACCCTTAATTTGTCTCTTTGGTACATGTCCTCCTGTGGCCACCAGGGCAATTCTTAATTTGATCAACTGGACTGATTAATCAAGAAGAATTCGTGTAATTCAACTGAAATGTGATCCACTGACCCTTTACCAACCAAAGTTTGATTTTGATGTTCCTAATGCATATCATATGCCATGACAAACATAGACCATTTTACTTGTAGACCAACATGTGTTTACATATTTGTAGTATCAGAAGTAACTGCAGAGATCGGAGAATGAATTTTACACTGATAGTTCTTGACCTTGAACAAAGTCTTTTCAAGTAAAGCCCATTTTCAGACATCAATATTATCATTATTATTATTTATAGGTGCGAATTCTTATATAACTTCGGTGTTAATATTGTCTTCAAATTGTTTTATAAAATATACACATCAACTGGAAACAAATGAATTTGGACTTTAAACCCGACTAAATTTTGGTTGGCTGCATGATTTTAGTAGAAAAGAAGAAATTGGCTTATGTGAAATCGGAGAGTGTTTGCGATGGGGAAGCATGTATAGTATAAAAAGTCAATCCTTCAGGCTTCATCTGTCGGATAATAACCTTAATTGTACTTGTATCTTTTGTAAACTTTGTGCTATATTAGAGAACATATTTTTAAGGTTATGTATAATGTTTTGCATAATGATAGCACAATTTTATATTTATAGAGTTTATCATTATAATCTAAAGTAATGCCTTGAATACTAAATGTATAACTAGGCCTATAAACATACCTAATTTTTAAATAAGTTCTCTACCCAAAAATTAAAAGTACAAACAGGATTTGCAGATTCTTTAAAAACTGAAAATATGCTTTTAAGGACCAAAAGCTAAGGCTTTAATAAAACTTTGAATAAAATATCTTAGTTATTAAACTTATTTCAAAATTTTCATTCCAAATAAATGGTACTTCTGAATAAAAAAATATGTTACATTCAAAATGTAAAACCAACAGGATGACAGAACCAGAGTACAAGATCCAAATTGCCAAGCTATTCAATAAATCTCTCTTTCTAAAATTATCAATATCTTAGGACATGCAATGAACATAAGGCAATAACAATATTAGACCAAAATCTTCTTAGAGAACAAGGTGACAAGAGATGACATATGACTCCCTTTTCACAGTCAAATATTATGTTCAATCTCAATTGGGAACAAGCTGAGAAACAAAACCTCCTGCAGATGAAGGTCCAAGCGGCATCAAGAACAGGAAGTCCATAGGCAATGCTACAGAGGAGTTGCAAATCCTGCCAGCTCAAACATATCAATAACTTAGACCTGCAGACCCACTACAGTAAATGAATATGCAGGCTCACTGCAGGCAGGCACTCATGTTAAGGTATGCATAAGCCATCATGGAAGTAATAACAGAGAGACACTTCCTAAGTTGTCCGTAGTCAGATACCAAAGCATGTTCATTCAAGAGTTTTAACCTTATAACATTGACCAAAAAAACCAAAAAAACTTTATGACATTATATTCTAGTTCAAAATGCTCACAACAAAAACTGATATGATGTCTCTTGCACACTATAAGTATGTAAAACCAAAATAAAGATGAAACACAAGTTTTATCTAAATTAAATAAGAGCTGGTAAATTATAAAATGTATGCAAGAAGTTGTTCCTACAAATTGTTTCAATGGGCCTTGACAACTTCAAATAAACTTTGGAAAGTTAAAGAGCTTATGGAAACTTTTGGCAAAAGGTTCAAGTTTAAAAACAACGTGCTAGTAGCCACTTCAACGGGTTCAAGTTTAAACTTTGAAAAGTTTAAAAATAGCAAGTTGTTTTTTATTTTTATTTTTTTTCAAATCAATCCCAATCCAAACTTTTTCCTAAAATAATTTAGTCAAAAAATCTATTCTTAAACTAGGAATTCGTTTTAATTTTACTTATCATAAAAATCAACTTGAGTCAAGCGTGGACATACAGAAATCAAGCATTAATATATTTATGTTTCCTCAGAAAAAAATCTGCTTCTGAAATTATCTTCTTCCGGCTCCTCCTACTGCTCATTTCTGATCCTCTTATTATTTTTTGAAACAACCAAAAAATTTTCTTTTCTCTAGGAACTGAAAACTGTGTTGCAGAACCCCATTCTAAAAGCACAGCGCAAACAATGAAACCACAAAGGAATGATCAAAAAAAAAAAAAAGAATGCACAAATATGGAACTGGAAGAGCTAAATAAGGCCCGGCATAAACATAATTGGAAAAAAGGTGTTGTGAAATCATGATATTAATCAACTTCCATTATCAAACACTCCCTAAGGAGAGGCAAGAAATCTAACAGAAAAAAATAACATCAAAAGACATCAGGGTGGCTTCTTAACTACTAAAATGGTTGCCAACACTACTTTGAATACAGCAAAGGAAGATTGCTAACTCCTAGCACCAAATAGTTGACACAAGAATTTTACTCATCTTAACAATCAAAGGTTGAGCTATATTGCTTAAATGTGATCTATAAAAAATTGGTATAAAGTTAGTGGTTTCAAACTCAACAGAACTAAAACAATCAGAATAGATGGATCTCAAATCAAATAGATTCTGGAACCCAGACTAGGAAAGACAAACCAAAAAGAAGCCTCGCAGTCAATCTAACTCTGTACATTCAGCATGGCCAACTTACATTCAAAGGGAATAGTGTAAATAAGGCCATAAGGTTCCTTGATATTTCTTCAATCCTATCAACCATGCTCTTTTACCTTTTCTACATTTCCCTCCCTAATAGTTCACCAGGATATCAGAAGAAATATATTGAGTTTATAGAAAGCAATCATAACTCAATCTTAGGCAATTTCAATTGCAGAACAGGATTGCCTTAAGAACAGAGCCCTTGAGCCCCAAATTTCACCATTCAATAATTCAGCCACAATTTCACAAATACAAAATGCGAAATATACATTGACCTACAATCCCAGTCTTCTCCGAAGAATCAATAACAAGAAGGTGCTACACACAATAATATTCACAATAATGATCAACCCAAATGGCTTCTCCTGCCAATGTATCACAACTATTGACAGCTGCAAAAGCAAATATATACCTACTAAAAAATATTATTTTTCTAACATTCTATATTTAACCATAAAGCGTAAACTACAGTCAGAAAACAGAAGAAGAGCACATATATTCGTTGTTCTTCCTTCAATAAAATGAAAAGGAACAAATAATAATATTTAGCAATGAGAAACACATATGCACACTAATACGCGGCTATAATGCAACTCGCCTACAATATACTAAGGAAGAATATAAGAACAGGACAGTCAGCAAAATTACCTTCTGACAGACACCCCCATCTTTGATTATGCAAAGAAAGCAATGAAGTGAACAAGGCAGAAGCTGTAGCACTATGCATTGGAGTCAAAGTTACTGCACCACCTAATTCCACTGGGAGCCTAAAGGAGACACATCAAACAATTCTTACTCAGAACTTAGAACAAAACAGCAATAAATTCCCATATAGGATATCTCAAATAATTACTAGAAGCAATAAAAAAAAGTAAGCGTAAAAGCCCAGATTATTTTATACCAAAGAAATGAAGCAGTAACTTTGAAGATGGAGGCAAACCTGGAAGAAGTGAGATTGCGGAGAGAGAATCGAGATGCAGGCGTTGACTTAGGAGAGAAAAGGCCAGCCAACTTATTATTAGCAGCTGTTGAAGATGGTGAATGGGTCAAAATGGTCTTGGCTGAAGCACAAGAGAACTTTAGGGTTTTTCTTCGACAATTAGCCGCCATGTTTCCTTTGTCCTTCCCAAGAACCCTGAATCCTAAAACCTCAGGAATTTTTATTTTCCTTTTGTTTTGTTTTGTTTTCTTTTTTACGAAGAAAGGCTTTCTGGTTGTGGGCTGGATCTCGGCCCACAGACTGCAACAGATTATTGCTTTTGGGTTTTAGTGTGTATATATATATATATATATATATATATATATATATTTAATTAACTTGTACAAATGGAATAAGGTGATAGTCTAATGTGGAAAGAATATCACAAATATGGAACCTAATGCATGATCCTACCATTTCTGTTTTGTTCTTATCCAATCGTCTCTGTTTTTAATATTTTTTCATAAAAGGATCAAAATAGAAATGATTACATTTTTCTAAAAAATAATTATTAATTATTGAGATTATCCCTAATTGACTATTTCAACAAAAATATATTTTAATATTTTATCTTTTTTCATCCAAATAATAGTTAAATTACATAAAAGTCAAGATAGAATGATAACGTTGTAAAAAAAAAAAAAAGGATAAATATGGAGCTTTAATTTAGTAGAGTGCTAAATTTAATTTTTATTCCATTAAAATTTAACTAAAAGGAAAATAGTAAAATATTTTCACATACTTTAAAGTAAGACTATGATATAGGTCTAGATATATACCATTTTTAGAATGGTATATAAGTATAGATTTTATTACTGAAACGTTCCAACTGTCATATAATATTGTACGGAAGCTGAATAAAATTTGTCATACCAAATCAACCAAGTAATGAGACCATTCACGAGCCCAGGATGTCGATTTTTACGGCCTGAGTTTTGGGTTCATCCCTAATTTTTTTTAAAGTCTTAAAGTTAAAGCTACGCTTGCCCATGAACTTGGTGCAATTTGTTTGAATTTTCCTATCCATTCTCTTGGAGTTGCATGCGAATGATAGCATTTTACCTTTAAATTTTTTTATTACAATCCTATAATTATTTTGATTTTATAATTATTCAATCACGAATAAATTATATAAGAATTCATCCCATACAAATATAGATTCAATACATAACTTTTATGAATTCTACATAATTTTAAATTATGATTAAGTGATTATAATATAATAATTTGTATCTCATATGTTTCTACGTGAATGTGAATGGACCCATCAACAATAGTCGACCTCATAACTAGCAAGACCTAATAAATAATGGTTTTGACAACCAAGAAGAGGTATTTGTCAATGAAGAATTCATGCACATTTTGTAAGTTATAATCTGACAACAAAATAATGCTAAAAGCCATAATCGTCTCCTTTGCGCCTCATTCAGGTTATTAATATCATAGATCCCGCAATTCGATCAGATGTGCACATATATTAGGATACGAACATGTAATTGAAACGAGGGACTCTTATCTTACATGATTTATACAGCTGCTGGATGCATGCAGACATGTCATGGAAAGCATGAACCTGGAATTTTACATGATTTAAAATTCGATTTTGGACAACACCAGATAAGTTGTTTTGTGAATATATATGTAGGATTTGCTTTATATAATTCAAGACCACATCATGAATTCAACTTCGAACTACATTTCCTGGAAAATGCAAATGTTCCAGGGCAAACAAAAGATGGGACTTGCACCGCTTGGTAATCGAGTGGTCCACGTTTAATTGGGTGGGAGACTCCCAGTTTCTGTTCCTGTTAGCTTCCCTGCTGGTTCTGGCCCGTGTCCCAAGCTGAAAAAAAGACACAACCAAAGCAACTTCAGTAAAAGGACAACCTAGTTTTATTTCATTGAAATCCAATACATGACGAAGATAACTTTTATCCAAAACTCTCCTTTTCCCTGTAGAAAAAGCAACCTATTAATGAAATAAGGCTAAACAACCATTTGCAAGTTTACATCTGCCTGCAATAAACCATTTGTTAAAGACTCAAAAGGTTTTGCCTTCGCAAGTTATCTTCTTATGATTTGAGCCAAAGAGTAGGCTAAAACGTTAAATCCAGAATAAAAGTTTTGAATCCTACCGGAGCACTTGTCAGAGACATTGAAAGAAAATTGCTCGGTCCTAATAACTAATTTCAGCTTTTAGTTTAACATTCTCCCATTCAGATTAGAGCGGATTATAATTAGCCATGACATCACTTAATCCAATCGTGCACTAAGTTGTTGAGGATTTCAGATAGAATAAATTTTAATTGGCGCCATTTTACTGGTGCTTGAGGTCTCGACGTTCATAAATAGAACAGATTCAATCTTGACAAATTGAGGAAAAGGACTTTCTTATACACTTTTGTAAATGTAGGTGTCATTAATTGAATTTTTTGTATATAAAATGGGTTGGCAAATTTAATCCCAAGAACTAAGAAAAATATGCAGATAAGCCCAATTAAATTAAAGCAATTTATTTAATTATAAGTTTTTCACATTTCCATTGGATCAGTTTGATTAGAGAGTGTGTGTGTTAATCTTAACCAAATAAAAACTTTAATGAACAGGGTTCTACAAGGTTCCTCTTCACTCCGGATAAAGCAAACTCTTCATATTGAGAATAGCTTAAAAGAATAGATCCCTAATTTGACAATTTGTCTTAACATCTTCATGTCATTGTTGTAACGAATTTAAAAATAAAATAAAAATTTATTATTAATTTTTTTAAATTAAATGTGATTGGTCACCTATTAAAATTTATTTTTTTAATAAAAATTTTAAAATTATTTAAAACTTTATCAAAAAGATAATTTTTTAGGTCTGCAAAAACAGTTTGAGTTCGAAAGTTGATTATGCGTGAGAAATGATTAACACCCTACAGCATCCGTTTAAAACGGTACCAATTAATTATGTGTTATCATTTAATTATGATTAAAATGGTCTTAATTTTGATATTTAAAATTAATTTTCTTTATTTTCTTTATTGTAGTAAAAACATATTTTTATTTTTATTTATTTACTTTAAAAATAAATAAAAACCTTACATATTAAAAAACTCATAAAAATATTCTAATACTCTGGTAATATAAGATGAATTATCTCACTTAAGAAATCTTTAAGAATCATTACTCGAAATTCTTAAAAATTCTATTCTCGGTGGTTCATATTTATATTCAATATTTATAATGCATGTAATAAAATATGATAATTATAACTTAATCTTGATAATATTTCAAAAATTCATTTCTTATTCTATTTATTAAAAATAGATGAAAAATCTTTATCGAAAATTATTCTAAATACTCCAATATATTGACCGTATTTTAAATAAATTTTATTTTAGAGATTCCTACATAATCGCTGCTTGAACTTTTTTATGATCTCATTCTCGAAGATTTTTTATTTACTTTTATAATTATTAATCTTTAAAAGTTATGTAATAATATAATTATCTATAAATTTATTTCCTAAAAAAGACATAATCTGATAAATAATTTATATATTTATATTTTTTACTTTTTTAAAAAAAATTGTTCAAATTAAAGAAAAAATAAAGACCTTTGTATTGAAAAGAATTTTTAAATATTTCAATACTTTGTTAATTTTTAGAAATATTTTCTCATCTAAGAAATTATCAGAAATCACTATTAGAATTTCCTATAATCCCATCATTAGAAATTTTATTATTATTATTGTCATAATTGGCATAACGTTTAGATCTGGGAACCTATCACTAGATATTGACTTAAAGAGTCACCACCAATCTTTTTTATTTAGGTGTGATTGGTCACCTAAAGAATCTATCCTTTCAATGAACACTTAATCTTAACTAAGGGTCCTTAAAAGAATAGGTTTAGGTCTATTAACCAGAATAAGGTTTGGAAGTTCAGTTACAAGTGAGGAAGGTTATAGCACCCTTACAACGCCCATCGAAAGATGGTACTGTAATTAATTATCCAATAAGCCTTAAAAATTATCAAGTAATTAATTATTGAAAATTGTCCTTAATTGACTCCAATACTTTTGGCAAAAAATTAAGAAAGTTTTCTCACCTCAAGAGTATACAAGAAAATTATTGTTTCTCTTGCAGAGGCTTCATCGTTAGATTATTTAACATTAAAAATTTTTCAAAGAAAGAAAAAGATAACAGGAATCATGATTCAACTTTTGATATAGATCTTTTTTGTTGTTTTATAAGAAAAGACTCACTTTTATACAAGAAAAATTGATACTTTCAACTTTTCTTTAAAAATATTTTTTTTCAAATTTTATTTTTAAGAAAAATTGGTACTTCTAATTTTTCCTCAAGAAATGCTTTTTTAAAAATTTTATTTTCAAGAAAAATTGATATTTTCAACTTTTCCTTTAAAATATTTTTTAAAAATTTTTATTTTAAAAGGAAATTGATACTTTCAACTTTCTCTCAAAAGTATTTTTTGAAAATTTTTATTTTTAAGAGAAATTGATACATTTAACTTTCCTTCAAAAATATTTTTTTTCAAATTTTCATTTTAAAGAAATCATTAAAAATTAAAGGATGTTTAATTAAATAAATAACTTTTTTTTAATTTAGTCAATAAATAAATAAGAAAAAATAATAATAATTAATTAATAAATAATAAAACTAAATGGAAAAGAAAAAAAAAACCTTTGGCGAGGCTCGGTTAAGAATTTGGCGTAGCTTTAAAGACATAATCGGCTAGTTGGCTCGTTACGCGACTCGGCTCAACAGCTTAGCATCAGCTAAGGTGAAACGTCAAGAAACGGGTTAAAACGGGTCAAGCCATCGGGTCGGGTCGTTCAGTTGTAAAATACACGAATCCTGGATCTTCTTAAACGCCAAAACAATGTCATTTTGACAAGGCTATAAATGGCTAAGTCTCAGTTTTTTTTCTCAGATCCCATTTTTCTTTTCTCTCTCTACCCCATTCTTTTCTTTTTTTCTCTCTCTATCCTGATGAACTCCGATTAAATCTTTCATCGAATTCTTAAAATTTCGTCAGAATTTAGGTTGGGTCGCCAAACGGTTGTCAAAAAAATCAACCAATGCCATAATCTTCTACCGAATTCTGAGAATTCCATCAAAAAATTCACTGAAAACTAAAAATTTTTCAAAAATCTAGGATTTTTCAAATTTTTTCAAAAAAAAAAAAAACCCCTTTTGTTTTTTAAACCCAAAAATCTTCAAAAAAATTTTTTTTACAGCTTTCTGTCTCGACCCACTCTCCTTTCTCTT